TGTGTCCTGCTGGAGGAGGAATGGGTTGGTCATGTGGCACTTAAAGGTGTGGAAGGGAGCTAACAACTTCAAGAATCTGTCCCCTCGGGTGAGTGGGGAAAACAGTTTTGTTACATGGGATCGGTGGTTCCACAGTTGCTGCAGGTCCCCATGCAAGGGATTCGTGAGCATGGCTGTTAGAAAGCAACCCTCCCAGAAGGCACACGGTCTGGGAGCTGATTGACTGTCCAGGCACTAGTTCTGAGTGTTCATATCCAGAGTTCTCTCGATCTCCACTCTTCGTGGCAGTGAAGACACAGGCGAGCCAATCCAGCAAAAAAACACCGGCTTCAATAAACCGATGTTCTACCCTCCTGCACCGCACCCCCTCCGGTGTCCCACCGGCATCCCAATCCCAGATGTTCCGCGCTCCAAATTCTGGATCCCCAGGAAGCAAGGCCATTACAGGTACCAATTGCCTTTCTACCATCACCTTTCTTAACTTAGTGTCCAATCCTGCCCTGGGTTGGCTTTTAACTCTTCCTGGACTCAGTCTGCTCCATCCATGACTGTCCCAGAAAAGCTACTTCCAGAAGCAGTTGAGGGGATTAGATCCTTTGGCACATTATAAATAACAGTTTAGAGCAGCAGTAGGTCTTTATAACCTCTTCCCAGTGACAAGTTGGGTTTTTTAAGCATCGTGCTAACTATGAGGTACAAAAGACCCTGTTTCAAATCCTGGTGTCACAAACTGAGGAGACCTTCCTGACAAGGATTGGCATAGTGTCTTGTCGGGTATGGGGATTTTTTTTTGGTTTTCAGCTTTGTTTAGCTGAAAACATTTAGTGTTTGTTTCCCTCAAGGGGATATTTTCAGGGCTAGGCCTGTGCCTGAGGAAATGAAGTGGAATACAGGTGTTTTCACAGGGCTCTGCTTCCCACAGGAACCACCAAGAGATAAACTGGGCTGCAGCAGCGAAGTGAATGGTACAGAGCCATTACAGAGGTGTTAGAAGACTCAAGTTAGGGTTGATCCTCTCGTAGTCCCTGTTTCCCCCGTCCAAACAAGATCAAATCTTAAAAAAAAAACCAGAAAGGATAAAAAAAAAAAAAAAAAGGCAAAGAGCACTGAAAAATAACTATTAATAAATAGGATGCGAGACACAGCATTCACATGCCCAGGCAACAGGAAAGCAGTCTCTTAGGTCTGTGGGATTGATAGATATGTACTCCATCTCAGTACAGTGGAAGGGCTGGTTAATCAGCTGGTGTTTAAACACCCCAAATTGTCTGGCCTGAATAGATGCCAAGTACCAGAGGAGGCTGTGATCGCTCTCTGGGCCACAGGATGCTCAACAAGGATGCTTTTTGTTGATGACACACATGTGCAGCTACCAGATATTGCCTTGAGTGATCTGTCTTCTTACAGCTTTTGAGTCCTGAGATGCCATATTGTTATTGCACCTCTTAAACGTTTATATGATTTTATTACTAATTTGAGGTCCATCCAGTTCAACCAAGTTAGGAGTTAAAGCAGAGAAACCTTTTTCATTATTTACTTAAACTTGCAACAACTTCCAGTTTCATGTCTCTTACAAAAGGGGAAAAGCTGGGAGCCTTCCTGGGTCAGAGGCCAGATTTAGCTGAGCAGTAACTGGGAGATGGTTTTTGTAAAGGCACTTTTTTCCCCCCACTTCTCTAATCAAAAAGTGTGTCAGTACATTGGGTAAAAACTTTGAGCTGTTTTCTTCCTGTATGGAGGAAGGAATCGCATGATACTTGAGCCTGGTAGATTGATCTTCAAGAAACTAATATTACTGTGGGGGTCCTACCCTATCTGTCTGGTGATGTCATTTCCACGGTGACTTTCAAGGCAGTGTCTTCTACAAATGCAATCTGAGAGGCTTCTTGAATTTCTGGTACAAATGCGTTGACCATAACACCTATCAGGAAGACAGTCTCCAGAAGGGATGCCTTCCGAGTGCTGCCGTTAGAGGCGTTCTACGTGGGCCTGGATAATACCAGAGACGGTGGAGTACCACTCCACTGACAGTGTTTGCACAGACACTTAGTAGAGTGGCACTTAGTTTCTCTATACAGATAATTTTGCTTTGCATGCAAAAAGTTCAGGTATGAGGAGGGGGGGAGAGAGAGAGAACTTGTGTCAACTGCCCTCTCCTGTGTGGGAAAGACGCAGTAAGTCCAAGGAGATGCATTAAACTGTTTTTTTCTTATTGCCAGACTTGGCAAAAAAAAAAAAAAGGATAGGGGATGAGGACAAAACTCCTGTGCAAATTTTTTCCAAACATTTTTGGAGACCTCCAACTCATTTTCACTTGTGACGTAAGCCAGGATTTGAACCTGGGTCTCTTGGGGGGTGGGTTGGTCCTATCAATCCATTTTGTCATAGCGGCTTTTTCCCACTGTGCCATCTGATGTTCTAGTTACTTAAGGTCTCTTGTTCCTATTATTTGTCTATCAAGGGGGATGGACTAGATAATGTCTTCAGTTTCTTTTCAGCTCTGTTTTATATGATTCTGTTTTTACTGATTTGATTACCAAGTTTTCCAGTTCTCCTGCTTTTTACGAAGAGTCAGGAATGTAGTAGATGATAGAGAATTTGAGAAGCTTGCTCAGGATCACTAAGGGTTGGCTGGACCAAAATTCATGTGCTGGGAGCTTCATGCAGTTCAGGTCTTTTCTAGCCACATCAGACATAAAGCCTGTGTGTCTGAGCCAGGCTTCAGCACGGGGGGGCTGTGAGGCTGCAGGGAGCTGCGCCCTCTTTATGAAAGTCTGACCACTCCAGTGGTCTGCAGAAATATGTGATGAAATAATTATCTCATACAGATTTTCAACAGTCCCTGTCGCTCCTGAATGAAAGACTTCTTTCCCCCAGCGCCCTCCCTGTACGATTTGTGTGCCACTGAGCCCAGCAGAGCCTTGCTAAGCATGTCCAGAGGAACCCATAGTGTGACGGTGGACTCCATGAATGAGTTCACTTATGGTCAGAGTCTGTGCAGCATAGACCATACACACTAGTTTGGCCAGTTCACCCTTCGTTTTATTGATTTCTAGTTTATCCTTTGAGTCACTACAGTAAAAACATTTGCCCCGATATTGCAAACCCAGTTGAAGTGAGACGAGACCTCACGCTATTTGTTCTGTTGAACTTGTGCTAAGGGACACCAGCTTGAGGAGGTGGGAGGCACCGTAGCTGTGCCATACAGCGATGTTTCAGGACAGTGCAGCTACTGCCAGGGTCAGGAACCGCTTCTGCATGCTGGGGGAGTCTTTCCATTCCAGTTACTGGGAAATTGCCCTGCGCTGAAGCGTGTGAAGCAAGTGAAGTGCCAAGAGCAGCGGCTGGCAGCACAGTGCAGAGGAGCAGGGCCTCCCGGCGTGGGCTTGGGGAGGGGTAGGGTAGCGAGTTCACTGTTGGAAAGCATAGAGGTCCAGAGGATCTACCATAGCTCTTCCAGACATCGTGGGCAGGCTCTGAGACAGCCCTTCAGTCCTCCACTGGAACCTTTGAGGGAGGGTGTTTAGGGAATGCAGGTTGCTGGAAGCACAGGGACAGCTGCCATAGTGCTTCTGTAGGTGACATTCTACATGTTGTGGTGAAGACCTGAGTTCAGCCTGCAGGCCTGGTCACCTGTGCCAGAGGCTTTAAGGGCTGCTTATTGTCTTAAAGAAGAAGGAGATAAGGGTTGGGGGGTTTTTTTGCAGGGGAGGAAGCCATGATCCTTCTGGTTCAGTCAGGACTTGTGTTCATGGGCTCCCTAAGAGCCAATCCAGGCCACCTCAGCCAGAAGGCATTCAAGAAAAATACCTACCTGTTATCCCTTCAATGAATGTGGCCCATTTGCCTCCAAAGTGAGATACTTGACCTTTCTGCTGTATTCAGGGTATGTGATGATGTGGTGCAGAGAATGTTGTCTTGCCTTCTGTCTCTGTGTGGTTCCATGTCCAGTATTGACCAGTCACCATCCCTGCTTTGTTCTCCACCCAGCAGAAAGTGCTTTCAG